GCACGAGAAGCAGAAACAAGCCGTAACATTTAGTGTCACACAGCCTAGGGCAGAGTGCTGTGAGGTGCCATAGCAGAGAGATCTAAAATTATGTGTCTCTTAATGGATGCAGAAGATGTATTAATATAATTTGAAGGCATGTGCAAGACACAGAAATGGCTCTAGTGGCCCAAACCAACGGCTCAACTGGCCCCGTACCCTGCCTGCCGCAGTGGCCATCAGCAGACACCCTGGGAGCAGCGAGGACGAGGATGGGTTAAGCTTGTATAAGATTTGCCCTAAGCACTTTTCCAGCTTCCAGATGTTTTCATCTCAGGGGATTTCCAAAGCTGCTGTTGTTTGTATGTTTAGGGTGTGCCTACATTAGCATTTTAATTTGGAGCAGGAGTCTTGTTTTGATGCGGAGCTTTGACTCAGCGGAGCGGTCCTAGAGCACCCGGCTGGAGTCCTTCCAGACAAAACTAACCTGGAAGGTATCCTCCAGGACAGCACCTAATTTCTCCATCCCCTATTGAGGATGCTCAGGAGACTAGATCAGGCTGGACCTATACTGAAATCACCTCCCAGAAACAGGCAGTGAAGCCTGGGGTTGTTGCCACCACTTTTTTGGTCCCACAGACCCAACCTCCTAATGTGACATGGCAGTAGCACCCCTGAAGGCTTCTCTTTCAGGGGTGTCTTCAGGCTCCTCTTGAACCCTTGTAATCTTTTGGGAGCCTGGCATTTTTTGGCAAAATGTGCCACAAATCTTCTAGCTGTTATCTGAACTCCTCCTTCTTGTGTTTAACCTGGCTACTGCGGGCTTGCTTTGGTGATCTTGCTTTAGTATTGGGACAGGCAGTGGAGAGCTGATCCTCACCCCCTTTTCTGCTCATGATTTTGTGGAGGGCTGGGTTTTCTCCTGCACCTCCCTGTGTTTATGATGCTCAAGAACAGGATAAAATTAAATTCATTGCTTTAGAAAGATAATAATTTCCTCAGCTAATACTACAATATGTCTGGTACTATGAAGTCAGCTGAGGCTGAACAATTAACGTCTTCCTGACAATGAATGTAGAATAACAGGTATAATGACAACATGTTTTGTGACTATATAGCTTGATTTCAACAAGGATTTTGCTGACCTGACAGTTAAATCTTTTCACTTAACGATCTTATAAGCAAACTAGGCTAAAGCAGTCTAGCAGAAACTACAGCAGAATGATATAAAGCTGTTTAGGAAACCGTGTCCAGAAAGAAGTCAGTGAGAGCTTGCTGTTAAAATAGAAGGATGGCTACAGCAGCATTCCTCAGTGTCTGCCTTGGGCCCAGCGTTTTCATTAATCATGTAGATGACGGAACAGAATGTGTTTGCCTATTAAATATGTAGATGACACCATGCTGAGAGGGGCTGCGAGTTCTTTGGAGACAGGATGAGAACTCAAAAAATGGAGATGTGATCTGAATAGGAGCAGGTGTGAGGTATACATTTAGGCAGGAATGATGAACTGCACAAATGTGGGATGGGGAATGTTGGCAGCTCCTTCCAGGCTCTACCTTGCCCTGCGGACTGCTCTTAGTACTCCAGATATCAGTGGCACACCGAGTACCCTCAGCCGCTGTTGTTTTTCTTGCTCCAGAATTTGTCAGGGCTTGGGCTTGTCGAGGCTCAGCGCTCAGCTGGATACTGGATTCTTTAATTGTGTTTCCTTATGAGGACCTGAGAGCGACCATTGGACAGCGAGCTGGTAACCCAGCCGTGCACATGGAGGCTGCCCTGTCCAGCAACCTTAATCCAAAGACTACATGCTATGGTTTCCCTTTACGTACGTGGAATAAGTTTCTTGCACACGACGTCACGTTTCCCCCCATTGGCTACTGCCGTCTGTCACACTGTTCATAACAGACCGGTCTCCTGAGTAGGCTCAGAAGCTCCAGGTATTAGCAATGTTGTGTATTCAGCTCGTGGGCAATATTTGGCCAGGTTTTTGAGAAATGACCAGTTAGGTGTTGATTTGTCCTCGGAAGATGATCTAGGGATCCTGAAACTAACATGCATTGAAAATATTACAGAAAATGCAAATTGTCCTCTGCCAAGTGGTGTCCACGGGAGAGTAGCCTGTGGGACATGGGAATTAAAGCATTGCTCAACTTTTCTTTGGGTTACTGTGTCCGGTTCAGAGACACTATAGACAGCGATAATCAGAATCTAATAAAAAAGATCGTCAAGGAAGGGTTAACCTAACAACAAAGGGGATTTGAGAACAGTCTTCAAATGCATGCAAATACAACGACGGGAATAATCTTTTCCCTTGCTTTCACAGATTGAATTTATATTGCTGCAATGAATGCTGAAGTAGTATGTTCTGTTTCTAATGGCACGGCTGTTAAAGCAGCAGAGTAGATTTCCTGGCGAGATCCGTAAGATCAAGACCGACAAATCTCTCTTGGGAATGCTGCAGGTGCCATGGTCCCAAGAAGGATGGGCTAAGGTGTGCCCAGCCAACCTTGGGGTCCCGAGGTAGGGTTCGGAGTCTTTCTGTCAGCTGAGGGCCTGGCCCACCCAGACAGATGACTTGCGCCTGTGAAGGGGAGATGGAAATGAGCCTCTACCCAAACTTGCAGCCCTGTGTTTGAGATTTTGAATGCAGTATATTTAAATGAAGGTGTTTGCAAAAATGGAAAGCTGGATGGCTCTTACAGACAGACTTTCTTCCCTTTCTTCCCTCACCAACACTCTGTTCTACATGCTCACTCTTTTAGGTTTACTTGTTTTTATTTCTCATGAAGCTTTGTTTGTATTTTTTCCATGATATCTGTTCCCTATTTTATTTAGTGATATAATTACTACCCCAAGTTTAATACTTCACATTTTTAGGCATAGCACATCTGTGAGAAGAATTGAAAAAACTGGGATCTAAAGCCAAACTCCTAAAAATATTGTCAGAGATGAAGAGCAACCCCAATTTCAATTAGTCAATAGGCAATGCAATTTTTCATTACATCTGAATTTTAGAGCACATATTTAGAACATCATTGGCCAATATACCTGTTGAAGAAACTCTGATCTGTTTCTTTTACTGGGTTATAATTTATTTCAAGGCTTTTGTGTATTGTTTTCTTTCTTTTATTTTTCTTTCTTATTGTGGATTTTAAAAATAAAAATAATATATAACAGATAAACTAATTTAATTTTAAAAGGTTGAGAAATTTTTTACTAGTTGAGTTATGATTTCTTATTTAAGTAAGTACTGTAGGTGAAAGAGCAATCAGCATTCAAAGTTTAAATAGCTTAAATAAATATTCTGAAATGTACATTGTCATAGGAAAAAATATATACTATTGCAATGTACATGATCACCAGCATTTAAACCTCTGTCTTTAGTTATGTAGACTGGTGTGGCTGGATGATTTTTGTTGTTTGGCACATACAGAGAATCACTCTTTCAGGTAGAGGTTGAGTCTCTTTGGAAGATTCTTTGTTTTACCTTGAGTTACATCTTAACTTGTTATTCTCCTTTGCTTAATGTAGCCTGAGATATGTAGGTAAAAGTATAATGTGAAATAAATAATATACACTAATTGCCATTAAGTGTAAATTTGAAGGCTGAGCATGAGAATTTCAAGACCTTTTCCTGTCATTCAGCGCAACACAAGCAACCGTTATTATTTTGAGTAATTGTGAATATGTGGTGTTACACAGATGTTCAGAATCTCCTCCTTAATCTAACCTTTGACCTCAACAGGATGTTTTTTTAGGAGAAAGAATCATTTGTGTGAGAAGTATACCTGTCTGTTCAAACTGGAATACCATGGTATAGGCTGATTAAAAAGAAAATCATTATTGATACAAATATCCACATCTACTGAACTCTAAAGAGTAATTAATGTTAACTGAGAAGTAAAATTGATAAATATAGCGTGTGCTGAAAATTCCATCTGCCTTTACGAAAATAGGGTTTTTTTGGAAAAAAATTAATGATAACCATGAAAACAAAAGTCTTTTCTCTGTGAACTTAAGATTATGAGAGGAAGTCTTGAAAAGAGATTTAAAAATGTGTTGCTGCATTTCTGAAGAGTATGGTACTTCTAGTTAAATGAGTTAGGAAGGATAATTTATACTGGGTGTCTGCTTTGTTAATGTTCAAGCACTTCACTGTTACTGAGTCAATGGATGTTAAGAATAGCAAAACATCTTCCAACTAACATGTTTTCAGGAAAACTTTGTTCTTCTTACATATGTAAATCATCATTCTTTTTTACATGTTCAACAACAGTAAATATTTTTGTAAATCAATGTTGCTGAAGCATAATAATTAACATACAATCCTATTTATAAAGAATTGTATCCTGTCTTGAAGGTACTCATTGGAAAAGTTTATTGCTGAGTAGACCTTTGAATGATACTATAAATTTAATCTTTATAGTTGATGCATATTTAAAACTTAGCAATTGAACTTAACCTGGGAAAATAAGGATTCTATTTTATGCCATATTTAGGAAGAATTCTATTAATCTGGCTCAAATGTAGTCATCTAAAAATAAAGTGTCTGCAAACAGGCAATTTGGAAAAGTTTTCAATTTCTAGATGTTATTTTTTTCACACCTGGATGTTTTTTTTTCTTACCAGTAACATAATGGTTATCTTAAAGTGTGTTTGAAAACTTAGTAGTAAACCAATGTTCTTTAAAAAAAAACTGGTATCTCTTAAAGGTGTTCACTTAGAGTTTAATCTTGTCTATGAAGTTATATGACCTTCTCTATGATTTGAAGGAATAATTTTTTTTTTTACTTACCTCTTTTTTATTTGTTTACTGAAATAATTTATATCTCTGTTTTTACGTATAACTTGAACTTGATTGAAATCATTGATGTATCAGTATTGCCTCTTATCATTGAGATTCAATTATTTTAGTTAGGAATCTTCAGTGAACATCCTGGTTTTAGTGTCACATGTAAAATGCAAGCTGAACATTTTGAAGTTTAAACTGAAAGGTAAAAATGTCATTTCTTTACTATAGCAGAATACAGTACAATCCACAGTCCATCAACACCTATTAAAGATTCAGATTCAGATAGATTGCGTCGTAGTTCAGATGGGAAATCACGTGGACGTGGCAGAAGAAACAATAATCCTTCACCACCACCTGACTCTGATCTAGAGGTACATTGTATTAGACGTCTTTGACCTGTTATCGACTATTGTAATCGTTATTTTGCAGAGAGAAATACTATTTACACATCAAAAATGAAGTGGCATTGGAATTCTCTTTCTTTTTCTTTCTAACAGTATTTTCAGAGAAGACAGAATTTTTTTTCTAAAGAACCTTATTCATGAAAAGCATCTAATTTCTCTGAAAAATACTGGGGTTTCTTTCTCCTTCTGATTTAAAAAAAAAAAAAAAAAAAAAAAGACTTTTCCCAAGTCAAAGAAAGGTTTGCATTTGGACAGGAGACACTTCTAGCACAATAGTGGTTTTTGTTCTTTCATGCTATGTTCACATTCCCCTCAGTGGCCCATGCTTGCTGTTGAGAACACAGCTCCAGTGACACACCACAGCTATGAGTGTCCACACTGCATTACTTTTCCTTTCCAAAAGCTTAGCCCATTTGTCATCATAGGAAATACAATCTCACCAGGATTTAAAATACTTGTATTTGAACACTTTATTTTTCATTAAAATATCATTTTGTGTGTGGTCAGAGGACAAATTTAAAACACATATTTTCCATTGGCTCTAAGCGAAAGAATTATTTACTGATGCCATAAGTTCTTACACATGCAGCATCTAAGTTCATAATTTTCATTCTTCAGGTGCCTAAAATCCACTAAAAATGAACATAGATTAAGGGGATTTAAGTGCTTAGCAGCAATTTGCTTTATTTTGTTTTTAGAGGTAATTTTCAAGAGCAATTATATGAACTTTGTTTTGTAAGACTTGCATAAATACAGAATTCAAACCCCAAAGATTTAATTTTCAGAGGCTTCTCTTAATTTATTTCAGTTTCTATCTCACATCTGGCTTTAAAATAATACACATTGTACAATCACATTTTCTGTGTGTATTTGACAATAACTATAATTCTATTCTAACAGAATAATTTGATATAATAGCAATTGTAGTAAAACAGATTGTATTACCCTATTCTGGAAAAAACTCGTTAGTTCTGAAAATAAATGGCAAAGAAACTATGGTTTTAATATATAACCATTTCAATACAATTTTCTCATTTGTGCGCTTACTGATTCAAATTTTAACTTTCCATTTCAAGTATCAGCTTCACAGAGGAACACATTGATTTGATTCTCTTTTTACAGAGAGTATTCATTTGGGATTTGGATGAGACAATCATCATTTTCCATTCCTTGCTTACAGGGTCCTATGCTAACAGATATGGAAGGGTAAGTGTCAAGAAACTGATGGAAATTTTCAGTAATATTTGCTGTTTTATAGTTGATACACAAGGAAGACCTGAATGTTAGTTGATTTTTCTAGATGCAAACTGGTACTGGTGTTTCAAGACATCAGAGAGTAAAGCTGTTTCACATGTCCATTCCTTGCACTTACTCAGCTCTTATATTCAGTAGATAATTAAATAGCATTGGGAGTTAGTACTCTGACCACTTAAGGTTTGGTTGGTAGGTACAGAGTGTCTGAAACCTGTTGATATAATGAAAACCTGCAAAGGTTTACCTCCGCTCAGAGAGTGAAGAACTTCCAGGAGTGATTGCTAAAATAACATTTTAGTTCTGAGCGATCGGCAGTGGACTGTGCTCTGTATTGAGAAGGCAAGAGGAAGAATACTTTTGGACACAGACAGATTAATCTAAAATTTTTTACCTTAACTTTTTTTTAATCTACATATTGATTGATGTTTTTGAAAGTCTGCTTATGAGTCAAATCTTTCTATTATGCACAGTCTATAAATCATAACTGAACTGATGCATATGTCTGCAGACTGTGGGTTTCCTCGGTAATTCTCAGAAGAGGAACGCGGTCTTAGGTGAATAAGAACAGTTTATGAATCGAATGCCCTTGTGAGATCAAACTTTGTTTTTCCAGGATTGTATGTGAAAGCTAATGTCTCAGCTGGTGCTAAAATCTGTTATGCTATTTCATGTTCACCTCATGAGGTATAACTAGAATGTGATTTTTTGGTAACCTTAAAAAATTCTACATATAAAGAACAACCAGATAGTTTTGTCTGGCTTCATGTAATCACTCTGTCTTCTTGTAAAGCTTGTATTTATCACCAAAACGTTTTAGCCTACACCCAGTTGAGCGAAGGCCAAAGCTGCTACTGATTCAGTCTGTGCCCAAATCAGGTTCTGAATTCCTCCTAATAACTTTTTGCACTATAAAAAAACCTTAAAGAAGTACTACTTTGCAACCTTTCTTGCTTGTTCAGGTGTGGTGTATTTTCAGAAGTGTTTGCTGTAATAGCAGATTACCTGTTTGAGGAATAGAACTAGTTTTTTTCATTATGTGTCAGAAAAGCAAGTTAATTCAGCAGCCTTGGTTTCCTAGGTGTTACTAGTTTATAATTAGGTAGTAAAAAGGCACTAGAATGTTAAATGTTTCAACAATTATTGTACGGATACATATAGACAACAGCTTTATAGAGTATTAAACATTTACAAGAAGTTATTTTCCATTTCTCAAGCTGAAGCCAGCTTTTGCATGGCACCCCAAAATCACCAAATCTGTGACAGTTCAGTTCAGAATGAGGAGAACAAATCCCAGTGCTCACAAAAAAAACGAGTGCCAACAGAATCTCACCACTTGCTTTTGGGTAGCAGAGTAGTGCAGGAAAAACCTAATTAGTCATTGCCGTAGAAGTAATTGTGCGAGTGTATTTTTCTCCGTTTGTTACCCGTTCGCTATAGCGGTTTCATTAATTGGGGCCTGAAAACAAACACCTTTCTTGCTGGATGCTTGAGGCTGAGGAAAGTGGCTGGTATTCAGCCGTGAAGAGATATAAATACGTATGATGCGAGGAGGTGGGTGACTCCCGATGGCAGCCCGTCGCTGTTGGCACTGTTTACTCGAGATGTGTTTTCCCCCGGCCGGCTCTGGCCGCGTGGCAAGTGGCAGAATACGGCCGCATCGCTGAACGACAGCCGGCTGCGGATGTTAAGAGGGATGACGGCGTCAGTGCTTGTGCTGTGGATAAATATTAGATCTTTCTGGTGAGGGGTAGCAATGTGCATGTCCTCGGCTCTCAGATGCAGTCACAAAAGTGTGCCCTTCTTGCTTTGTTTTCTTAAATTTTCATTCCTATCAGGGTTTCTCTTGGCTTATTGACAGCTTCGGACAACAGTTAGCAATTTCCATAGACATTGGAGGAAAATAATGTCAAATGTTCAAAGCAAACGTGCTAAAACATATATCTGTCATTTGGGAATTTTAGGGTTTATTTGCAGCAATGGGAGGTGCACTTTTTTTTTTAAAGAGTGTTTCCTAATGTTTTCTGGACTTTAAAATCAGAAATCCAGACCATGTCAATCTGGGAAAAAAAAAAAAAAAATTGTTGAGGGGAGTTTTTGTTCTTTTCACCTGTATTCTGCTTTTTGAGCGATCTAACATCATGCTCTCATCTGTTTCTGCACTGTGGTGAGGGCTAGAAATGCCCTTTTAAAAAATTAAATCTAAGCTGCTCACATAATCATTAAAATACAAAAGCTGGATCTTCAAACATACAAAAATATCGTAATTAAGTAATAGGGGATTTGGTAACTTGGCATTCAGCTCTTTTCATAATGCCTGAGTGAGTTTCATGGTGAATGACTATGAATGATGAGCAGCCCTGCTGCTGAAAAGATTGATTTTCTTTTCCTTATTCTCTACCTCGTTCCTCATAACTTTCTTGCTTGTGCCACCCTTTTCTGTATATTCTTACTTTCTCATCTGTTTTTATCACCTGCTCTCTTTTTGCTGCTATTGTGCTCAGCTTTCTCCCTGCTTTTGTCCTTCAGCTTTGTTGGAACAAAATAGTACCTTTGTTTTTCAGTTTGCACAGTCATGGTATAAACTGCTACATTTTTATTGAAAGGTGACTTGAATTTTGTGACTTTCATGGAAATGTATGCAACTGGTATAGGAATATGATTTGTCCTTCCAGAAGAAAAAAAAAAAAAAAAGAAACAAAACGTTTGCTTTTGTATTATTTTTTTTAATATGTATGGAACTCTTGATCAAATATAAAGTTATCAGTTACTTTAATTGACATTAGGGCTTCTAATGCCCCAAACGTTCTGTTTTGAGCCAGATGTCAACTGATCAAGTTTTGGAATATGGAAAAAATTGGAGCCTTTACTTAGTATCTCGGAGCAGGTGGAAATACGTCTCAGTATTGGCATTAGAATACTGTGCTCTTTACGTACATTTCCATTCTCCGTGAAAGCATTTATATTCAGACGCTTTAAAGGAATTTTCCTTTAAATTATAAGCTATTTTAATGTGGTTTAATATATTTTAGAGAATGAGAAAAACAAAGCCTGGTTTCACTTAACCCTTCATTTGTGACCTGTAGGCTTAAGTGGAAAATAAGCCTTGTACCCAAAGTGAACTTTCCTGTTTTTCAGCTTCTTGTTTCTCCACAAAACAAAGAAATCAAGTAGGTAGAATTTAGAAATGACATACAGACAATGTTTTGGCTCCAATACCAGTATTCAAAACAAGAGACCTGCTGAAGCAGTTTGACATTGGTATTTCTTTTCTTAAGCTAAACTGTACCTCCCTCAGAGATTTGTACCTGATTTTGACCATACCTGAAAAGACACTCCGACTGAACCTGCAAATCCCAATCAACAAGAAGAGATTGTTAGCTTTCCTACTCATTGTGTGACACCTCACGATAATTAGTTAGCAATTAGTGGCTTAAAATTGCAAAAGAAGGTTCGGTACGGGATTATTTTTTTTAAGACCTTATTCTAGCCTTGTCTTTTTTGAAAGTTTCAGCCCCCACTGTAATGTCTGACATGAGAGTTTAATCTACTGCAGTGCCTTAAACCAAGGCTCTTGTGCTTTTTACTAGAGCAGTTGCAAGATTGTTACTACGCAGATACTTAAAACCCTAATGCAGATAAGGCTTTTGCTTCTGTTAAATATGTGGGTAGCCCAAGCTGCAGCTTAACACAGTTTTTATGCGAAGTGGAACTTCCTATAGAAAAAGATTGTGTTTAATCAAGGAATTGAGGTTTCTTTAAAAAGCAACCTGTTTTGTTTCTTCTCTTAGCTTTTACGGTATTTAATCTGACATTTTCAGTAGGTGCCAATGATTTTCTTATTTGTTTTTCTCCTAATTAAATTAACTTAATAAATGGCATTATTTTAATATTACTTTAGAGAAAACCCCATTCTATTTTGTCTGCCATTTAAAAATACCTTGGAGTGAAATGGTTCACAGAAAGATTTACAATAGTCATTTTTTCAGACGCAGAAGTGTGATAAAAAGTTTAATAAAAATGTTTAATTTAAGTCATACGTACACTGAAACTTAAAATATATATTCACAGTCATTTGTTTAAAATTAACCGTACTGGTTCATAAGCAACATCATGCTCCGTCTGCCAATTTATTCTGCTTTTCAAAATTATATTCCTGTTTACAGACAGATGGAAGCTCAGAATGGGATTAGTTTTACACTGCTACATTAGCAGTTGATAATCAAGATGTGATTTTGCATCTTAGACACTCAGTCCATCTAACTCCTTTTAATAACTGGAGCGGAGAGTTGCGTGGGGTGACTTCTGTTAGTGCTCAGGCACAACGGAAATCCTTGTCTGGCTTAAAAAAGAACAGGCTAATGAGCTATGAAGGATGGTGGGGTGGTAACTGGGCACAAAGATAAGCAGGAATGTCAGAGGGAAAAGTAGCTTCAGGCCTAGCTAGAGGGAAAATATCACCTGCTTTCCACCTCACATGCCTACAAAGTAAAATAAAGGAAGACGTAGGTCTACAAATACAGCAATATTAAAACAGAGAGACAGAATACTTTTGTTCATATTTTGAAGTCTTTCCATTTGAATTAAGAAGTCAAATATTCTTTTTTTGGTGGTGCCAGTTTAAACAGAAGGCTTATTTTTAAGGGCAAAGTTCAGCAAAATAGCATGATGCAATTTTTCTTTCCCATTTATAAGGGCTTTTTTTTTGATACAAGAAAACTTATTTGCTCTTAATGTATGTGAGTTCAAGAATAGATGTTTCGTCTGTTCTATGTAGCTTTGTTTCTAAATGCTTCTTTCCAAAATTCTTTTTCTGGTTAGTTTTACTTGGGTTTTGGCATTTCCAGAAGGCAAACAGGCTGCCAAATCACCATTCTTTTCCAACTCTTTGCTACTGACACATTTTGCCTTTTAACCAGTAGTTACAGAAAAATGTTTGAAAGTTCAGAGATCATGTTGAAACACCTATTAATTTGATTGAGAGGTGGAAAAAGAAACTAGGGACTGCACCTCTTGGTTTTTAACTTTGAGTTGTCAGCAGGTTTAGAATATTAACTTTTTTTAAATAAAATATGTGTTGTCACTTCTGCAGTTCTATTTAAAATATAATTCCTAACAAACTAACGTTATTAATAGAGGGTGTCATGAGATAATATAACATGTTCTTTCAAACTCATGCTTCTGTGCGCTTGGATATGCTTGGCATTATAAGAGAGAAATGCTGTATCAAATGTATATATTAGGCTTTCTTTTTGATTTTTCAGATTGAAAATATATAAAACACAAAAAAAATCAAAACAAGACAAACATCTGTAATGTGTTTAGTAACCACAATGCTGAACATGCTTTTTGAGTTTATTAGCTCAGTAAGGAATAACTTGTTATGGTAATTTCTGTAGAGAAGTTGAAGTGTGTTATGTATTAATAACAAACAATAGATTTGTTCACTCTGTATGGGTGGGCCAAACTGAAAGCATAATTAAAGCATGGTTTTATGGAGAGTCAAGGAGTGGTTTTATATATAATTGCCATTTGCAAATAAAACATTAATGGTGATTTGCTTTAAAGTCACTAGGTATTCCCAGGACTGAATCCTTTCACTTGTGACCAGTGAGAGTTTATTTTGAGTAACAATAGCATTATCATGCCCCTGCTTGATCATGGAACTTGCAAACAGTTGTAAAATCTGGAGAAGTTTTAGGTGAAATAGATTTGCCCTTTCTGCATGGAGGGCAGAGAGCCCATGCCAGGGATGCACAAGGGTGACCACAGAGGTCCTGCTGCAGAATCACGGTATCAGTTGAGTCAAAGTCATATTTTTGAGTGTTACTGTTAAGTGTTATAGTAGAAGATTAGGGAGTTACTGAAGTTAAACTGAAGAAGCGGATGTTGTGTTTAATACATCAAATAATCGCTCTTGAAAAGCAGATCTTCCAGTTTGTATTCTGGTATGTATGTTAGGCACGGTATTGATGGTGTACTCGCTTAACTTCTTCTTTAAGGATCCACCCACTTCTGTGTCTCTTGGACTCCGAATGGAAGAGATGATTTTCAATTTGGCGGACACGCATCTGTTCTTTAACGATTTAGAAGTAAGTGTTCATTCTTTTAAAACTCATAGAGGTGATTTAATATTTGTCTCCTTTTATGCATTGTTAGATGATTTGACAATTATTTTTGCTTTCACAGTTTTAAAATGGAAACTTTTAGAAAATATCTGTATAATTTAGTCATTAGGATATATACTAATATCTACGCTAAATGTCTGCTTTGGCATTCAAGGATTATAATAGTTTAAATGGTAGGGTTTTGTCTTCACAGGTCTTAGTGTTTATGAGCACAGTAGACAAGTTTTAGAAGCGGATACACCAAAAGCGTCTATAAACATCAGAATTCAAAAGTCTGCACAGGCCATTAAATATTAAACTTCAGCTTGTATAAACAGTTAATGGCTGGGTACAGATTTCTCACTTACATCCCACTGTGGGCAAGTGTTACCTTAAACCCAAGGGAAATCATTAATGTTGTGTATGCTGTCTGTCTCAGTAGCTTATTACTGGGGATCTTCTGCCTTCCCCGGCGGCAGGTACGATTTGTTTCGCGCTAGGGTTTCTCTGCCGCCAACGCCTCTCCCCTGTGGCGTGCGGCGAGGACCTGGTGTCGGCGTGCCAAGGGCTTTTTCGGTCTACGTAGGCTATGGTTTGGCGACGCTTGTGAGACCGTTCTAAAACTATCCGAACTGCTGAAAGAGACTGTCACCATAATGCCTGGCTGTTTCATCTTAAAAGGGAAAAAAGCAATTTCTGATCATATTTTAATAACATGAAAACATGAAAACAGTCAGATTTCTTTCCCATCATAATGAAGACAGCTGTTTATTTAAAATCCAACTGTTAAGCAAGCTTGTGGTGGGGCTGCCAACACACATTAATCATCAAGTTGTTGTTTTGCTAGATTTTAGAATAGTGTGTTATTCCAGACAGGCAAAAGAATCTAAAAGATTCAAATGCAACTTTTGCTGATCAAAGTTAATTGGCAGCAATTGGCCTTTAAATATTTCCTGATGTTTCCCTTTTCAAAATCAAGCAAAATACACCTTATTTAACAGATGAGCCAAAATCATTTGAAAAATGCTAGTGTGTGATAGACCTCAAATGTGGTTTGTCTAACATCTGTCCTATATTTTGATTTCTTTTCATCTAAAAAGAAACCACTCACAGATGATTTGGCATCTTAGAATGTAATGAAATTATTTAAATGTGCTTTATTTTTTCTTCCATTCCTTAGTGGAGTATTTCTTTTTTATGCTTAAAATAAAATAGATTATTTCTTTATATTATAAAGTAATGTTTTCTTTCATCAAGGTAGCTATATGTAGAGATATGATTGGTTTGGATATAAGAAGCACCCTGAGTGAGTTGCATGTATAGGACTGATTTTTCAGATTTGTAGAAAAGGATAACAATGCTAGTTATTTTCCAAATCTGTTTCTGATTTCTGGTTAGAATTCATTTTATCCAGAGCAGAAAGAGAAAGTACTACTGTATCTTACCAGCATATTCAATAAAGATCAGTGTGTTTTCATTTGCTGTGCATAGCCAGTGGACTTTCAGCTACTTCTTCATACATGATTGTCAGTGTCACTGACTTTAATGGAAGTTAATCAACTGCATCGTAGGGATAGTAGATTATCTTCTGCTAATTGGCATGTTACAGCCTTAACAACATAGCAGTTTATTCACTGAAGAATTTTGAAGCAGTGTATGAAAAAAATACTGATCCAGGTGGTTCATGGAAGCAGAGGAGCTCACTGGATGAGCTTGGTTCTTTGCATTCCCCCCATAACAAGCCAGCTTATCTTGCATCTCCAAGCTCAAGTGTAAGAGTCTGTGTCTATAGCCTAGTCTGTCTTCATACACAGAGGCAACTAGGAGTGAGCAGTTGCGCTCATGTCCTTGTACATGACCTCTAAGTCCTTATTTCTGCGGAACGTGACCTCCAATCTGAAAGATCATGCCCTGTCCAAGGGAGTGAAGAGTATGTTCAGCATGCAGAGGAGTGGGTTTGTGCTTGTGGGTTGCCACAGAGAAGTCTTCAGAGAAGTACATGGGGAGGGGGCATAAAGAAGCCTGTACTTTGTGGGAAGCAGCACATAAGGACTAGACCTGGCCACAGACTGAAGCTTTCAGTTCACCAGAAATGTCAGGTTTTGTGAAGCATGTCACAGACATGTGGTGTTTTTGAAGGAACTTGTCCTCCTGGAGCTGCAGTTTGTCGTTCTTGTGAGCGTCACAGTTGTTAGGAGGGCCTGCCTGGTTCCCAAGGCCTGCGACCTCGGGGCAGATTCCTTGCATCCATCTCAGAAACACAAGGTCCTTGCTTGGTGGTTTGGAAGTTCAGGCTGCCCTACAGCTTGACAGGCTTCCATGAAAACTGCGGGCAATTTGGCTTGGCTGTGCCTCAGGCCTAAAGCATCTGGTCCTGCTGATTGAAGGACTGAGTCTGGAAGATCTAGTGGTGACCCTGCTCAGGGCTAAGCTTTCCAGTTCCTGTGCAGAAGCATCTGGGCTGTTAGGAATCGAGATGTTTATAGGCAAGATTGCCAGCGAGCCACAGAGCTTGGGCATCCTTGCCCAGAAATAGTATGAAGACAGGCAAAGCTGGATTTGGAACATGTCTAACCCACAGTGTAGACATGTCTTTGGGTCTAGGCATAACTCAAAGCGGGAACCTGAAAGCTGATGCTCCCTGGCTCACCCAGGCTCAGAGGGAACCCTTCCTGGCATATAGAGAGGCTGGGTTTACGGGCAGGCAATCATCTGTCATAACTTTGGCCTATGGTGCACATTTTTCCAGATACCACAAGTTAATGTTTCTTAATAAAAATCTTCTTTTCATCTTGACGCGTTCCAGAAAGCTCTAATCAGAACAGATCTCTTGTTATCCAAGTTAGGGGGGAAGTATTTTGTCTTCTTATAAACTGCTGAAGACTGATTTAATGTTTTGAATGCGAAGGGCAGAGTTGCAGCAGCGATCTGCGAAGGACTGCTTGATTTGCGTATAACCTAACTGGCGTTTCAAAGCTCAACCTAGAGATTTATTTAGTGTTATTAGGTTAAATTCTAAACTTCAGCAGTCATTTTTTAGTCTGTATAAAGTGAATCAATGCCAATGCGTATCTGTTGCAAACTAGTTTACCCATCCTTAACTTAGTTGGGGATACAGCCAGGTAAATGAATCATCTAATTCCCTATATGTTGCTGCTATAATAATAATAATAATAATAATGATAATGATAATGATAATGATAATAACTATTATTATTATTAGATTGTTTTAATAATAGTTTATATATTCTTAAATAAATAATATATTATTATTATTATTATCATCTTTCAAACTCAATAAAAAATTCAGTCAGATCTCACTGTCTAGCTCTGAAGTCAGTATTCTGTTTATGAATGGGTGAGCTGCACTTAGATTTGGAATTAGTTATTTAATTAATTAACTAGTAACTGCACCCTCATTTTGTACTAGTTTTTAATTTCTTGCTTTGAGAAAAAGTGAAAGAGATGGCTTATTTCCTTCACTTTGCACAGATCTATTTGGAGTAATTAATTCCAAATTGATACAATAGCAAATAATTTCAGATCTTGAAGAAACATTTCTTAAACAGCATGTTAAAGGGGTATGACAAGGCTTTTTAATATACCGAAAGGAAATTATTAATGTTTACTAATGCATAATTTGATCTAAGTACCATAATAAACAATGTTTTCTTGCATTAATAGTAACTTCATAATGAAATTAGAGAAATGTACTAGGCCAAACAGTAGCAAATAGTGCACTGTTCTCAAAATTTAGATTCCAAAATCTGCATTTGGTCTTCAAAATAGGAAGTTTAGGTTTTCAGTATTGAATATTTTCATTTAAATCTCTCATACTCAGTTCTATAGTAGAATTTCAGTTGCATGCAAGAGGGAATAACTACATCGATCTAGTGCTCTCAAGAGAACCAGAGTTATCTCATCAGAAAAGAATGTGTGATTTTACATGCTTATTATGTTGTGATAGGGATAATAAGGTATAATATTTTAATGGTCTATATGGAGCAATTACACATATTCGGTATTTTAGGATGTATGCCCCAGTGTTTTAGGGAAATTAGCAACTTGATGATAGGACTGACATGTGACATCTGCTTATCTGCATCTTTAAAGATTGTATATATTTACAGATTTATACTGACCCTCGTAAAAGATTAGTTTATTCATTTCTTTGGCATATCAGGTGCATATTATAACTAGGTATGTTAAAGGAATAATTCCTGGTAGTGAATGATTATGAACATCTTATTTTAAAGATTTTTTTTTTTTTTGCAAACTCTAAAATGGTACCATCTTATTAGACCTGTTCCTTTAGAGATATTTACCGAAGCTGAAAATGTTGCTTATGAAGCCCTCTTTTTTTTTTTTTATCTTACCTAGCGCTTTTTTATGAATAAGATAAGGATTTTTTTGGTCTGTGCTGAATTCTACTGAAGTAATTAAAATAAAATTCATTTGTAGTTTTATTTCATTATTATTTTTTTTTTTATTTTAGGCTTTTCATTTCTCTTTGTTCGTTTCAGGTTTTTGGTGTGGGCTTTTGTGTGAGGGTTCAGAATACAGTTATATATATTATGATACTATTAAAAAATTAATTTTGACACCTCTGAGAAATGCAATAATGCATAAGGGCACAGTAATGATGATCAGCGTTCATTTTTCTGCCATCACTGAAGGATGTATGATGCACGCTTATGGCTTCACAATTCACTTTTGTTTGTGGAGTCTCTAGATGCGAAGTGATGATATGTGTATGGGAGTCATTTATAATGAATGGCAGTATGGTATGGGTTTTTCGGCTACAGTAGTTGATGCATTTCTCTTAACGATAAAAGAAGAGGGGGTGCTATCAGGTATTACTGTAAAGCAGTAACTTTGGTTCTTTGGGGGGGAAAAAAAAAGAAAAATATTTAGTTATGTTCTAACAATTAGGAATGCTGACTATGGATTAATTTCTCCTCAGATTCTTACTTAAAATCCACCTG